CACTACTTCAGCCATGTTTCATGGTGATTTCAGTACCTACAAGGTAATACTTCTCAAATCCTGGATTCCTAGTTCCCTGTTTTCTTCTTGAATGATCGTGTCCCCTGTTTTCCATCACTAACTCATCCACTGGACATACCTCAGACTTCGGTATTTCCAGGACTCTCATCTCCTCCAGAATCTGAAGTATCTTCTTCTTTAACCACCTCCTTTGACCTTTCCAGCTCCACCCTGCTGGACCCTAATTCAAACAATCCTCCAGCCCTCTGGGACTTATAATCCAGCTTTCTTACCCCATTCACTGTTCTGCATTTCCCTACGTCTCTTCTTTTCTCTGTGTCACGCTGAATGCCTAAGGTCAATTATTAAAATCCTTCCCTTACAGATACCCACAAATTCTTTCTTTCTTCTCTTGTTCACCAAGCTGAACTATGACTGCTTAAATCTCATTTTCCAACTACTTCATGCCCACACCATTACAGATGGACACGGCTGGAAAAAAAATGCATTCATGAACATTAATCTCCAGCGGGCATGGCAGTCATGGTGGCCGTGTCTAGTCTAGCCACTCTCCCACTTTCTTAAATGATGGCTTCATGCCTTTTCTCTTTTCAAACCTCTACCACCTCTTCCTCCATTCTACTCTCAGCTGGCGACTCAGCTCCCCATTTTAGTGAGGAAACAGAAGCTGTCAGAACAGGTCTGCCACCCTTTCTGCCCATCTGTGCCCCTGGCTAAGGCTAATCTTACCACATAGCCACTGCACAGCTTCTGCACATGGTGACTGAAACAGTGCTCCACAAGTGTCTTGTTTTTCTTCTATCATCAATTTTTACCTCCTTTACTGGACTTTACCAGTATGGTGTTAACACTTTCATCTGAAAAAACATTCTCTTGATCCCAAGTCCCATTCTAGCTCCTGCTCATATTTCTTCCATTAAAACAAAGTGCCCTTGCTATGCTTACACTGTCGATATTCGTCTCTTCCCTCTGTTCCCCTTCAGCCAGCCATTCACTCCTACTGCTCCATCACGGCTCCGATGTGGTGCTAAAGCCAGTGGCCAACTCTTAGTCCTCCCCTCACTGTCAGTGCTGCCAAACAGCATCTGACAGACTTGATTCCTCTCATACCAGATAATTCCTTTTTGTCTCTTGGTTCTTAGGATCCCACAGTCTCCTCTGTGTTCCTACCACCCCTCTGGCTGCTCCTGTTTCCTTTACTGGTTCCTTTATCTCCTCCACTTCTAAGCATCAAAGTGCTTGAATCAGGCTTTGGATCTCTTTTTTCTATCTACCGTCACACCCCAGTGACCTCATTCTCATGGCTTTAAACGTCACCCGTATGCATCTTTATTCTAGACTATTTCCCTTAAGACTCCTATAAATCTATAAACTGTCAAACAGACACCTCTACTGAGATGCCTAATAATTTAATACTTACCTTCCAAAACCAAGCTCCTAAATTTCTCCACAAATGTGTTTTCTTGCAGTCCTTCCCTCTCAGTGAATGGCAATTCTACTTTTCTAGATGCTCAGACTATCCCACACTGTCCCTCTACCTTCAAAATACTTCCAGATCAAACTGCTTCTTGCCATGTCTAGAACTTTTGTCTGGTCCATCATCATCTCTCTCTTTTTTAAAAAATATCTTTGTAGTTGTAGGTGAATACAATATATATTTTATTTGTTTATTTTTATGTGGTGCTGAGGATCGAACCCAGTGCCTCGAATGTACTAGGCGAGTGCTCTACCTAGAAGAGCCACAACCTCAGGAACATCACATTATCCCAATAATCTCCAACTTGCTTCCCTGTTTGCACCCTCAGGCTCCTTACACTCTATCCAATATAACAAGATGTGTAAAGAAAGTCATGGCATGATTGACATGAACGTCAACGGCATGGCAACAATGTAACATATTGATAACAGCCAATGAAAAGCCCACAAGGCTATAAAACACAATGACCAAACAAAACACATTAAAAATGGGCACACAGGGCTGGGGTTGTGGCTCAGCTGTAGAGCGCTCACCTAGCACATGCGAGGCCCTGGGTTCGATCCTCAGCACCACATAAAAATAAATAAAATAAAGATACTGTGTCCAACTACAACTAAAAAAAATATTTTAAAAAAATGAGCACACAAAGTTTGAATGTTTTCTCTGATTTGGGAAGATAGGCCAATTAATAAGGGGAAGAAAAGAAAGAAAGAGAGAAAGAAAAAGGTAGGGTGGATTTCATCAAAACAGAAGATCGGTGGACTAGATGAAGGGTACTGTGTGGGAAGGAGAAGATAAGAGATAAGGGAAGAACCGACGAGACTTTCCAATGCATACACATGAACATACCACAGTGAATCTCACCATCATGTATATTTACAAGATACTAATAAAAAACCTATAAGTAAACAGCAGAAAGATTAGTAGAGAGAAGGGAAGGGAAGGGAAGGGATACGGGGAGGGAGAAGGGAAGAGAAACAGGAAATACTAGGGACTGAATTAGAGCAAATTATATTCCATGTTTTATAATTATATTGAAATAAATCTAATGTTATATATAACTAAAAAAAAAAACCATTTTTTTTAAGGGCACAGAGCAAAAAGCAAAGAAAATAAAACTCAAAGAATGGAAGAAAACTTCCAAATTCTTCACAACTGATTTGAGCTGTAGAACTCAGTAAGAGTATATAGCCCATAAAATGTATTCTTGCGTATAAGATGATAAATAGCTCTGCAAGACGAAAAGACTGCAGTACAAAAGAAATAAACTGAGCACACTAATAGATCATCACCATGGGACAGACGTATATATTATAAATAACCAGGAACAAGACATACATATTGTATTGCAGGAAAAAAAATTAAGGACATAAAGGCTGATTATAATCCGGGTGAATAAAGATGGAAAGGACAAAAAAGGTAAAAACAATGACATAAAAGCAAAAGTAAAAATAATCCAACACAGGGCTAACCAGTATTCCTGAAGCAGGGATCCTAAAAAAGAAATGCTCAAAACCCGGAAAATTTCCCAGAAATATATAAAACTCTGAACCTGCAGATTAAAAGAACATCTATGTTCCAAGAGAATGGTATATAGATACATAGCTTAATTAAGATTTTGGAAACAAATCTTCTTTAGGTGTCCTGAAATAAAATCAGCCATTTAAGAAAATTCCTCATTTAGGGAAAAATCAGGCCAGTTCTAAAATTCCTTGACAAAACAAGGGAAGGGAAAAGCATGACCTCATAATATTACACAGGCTGAGTATCCCTTATCTGCAATGCTTGGGACCAGAAGTGTTTTGGATTTTAGTGTATTTTCATAAACATAATAAGGCATCTTTGGGATGAGACCAGGTCTACACACAAAATTCACCGATGTTTCTTGTATATCTTATACATGTAGCCTGAAGGTAATGTTTTCTCCTTTTTTGTGGTACTGGAGATTGAATGCAAGAAGTGCTTTATCATTGAGCTATGTCCTTTTTATTTTAGCTTTTGAGATAAGGTCATACTAAGTTGCTCAGGCTGACCTCAAACTTGTGATTCTGCTTCAGTCTCCTACGTAACTGGGATTTTAGGCGTGTTCCATCATGCTCAGCTGCCTTAAAGTAATTTTATATAACATCTTTAATATGCCTACATTTGACTGCAACTCATCACCTGATGTCAGATGTGGAATTTTCTTCTTCTTTTTTTTTTTTTTTGAGAGAGAGAGAGAGAATTTTTTAATATTTATTTTTCAGTTTTTCGGCAGACACTATATCTTTGTTTGTATGTGGTGCTGAGGATCGAACCCGGGCTGCACGCATGCCTGGCGAGCGCGCTACCGCTTGAGCCACATCCCCAGCCCAGGTGTGGAATTTTCTACTTGGAGTATTATGTTGGTATTCAAAAAGTTTCAGATTTTGGAGCATTTTGTATTTTTGGATTAGGGATGCTCCAGTATATATAGCTTAGATGCAATCTCAGAATTAAGGCAGCAGGTATGTATTTGAAAGTGTGAGGACCTCATGGAATATGGTATATTTGAAGCCTTCTCTAAAAAACAAACAAACAAAACAAAACAAAACAAAACAAAACAAAACCCCAGTAAACTTAAGCCAAAGAACTGAGGAAGGGAGAAATCATGAGAGAAAAGTTGGTAAAAACAAAACAACAATAATAAAGAATGCCATGGAGGAAAATGAAGCAGAGTAAAGGGGAGCAGAGGGGGTGCTTTTCTCTTAGGAATAGTGGTCAGGGAAGGGGTGCTGACCCATGACAAAGTTGCATGGACCACAGACTGAAAACGCCAAGACAGACGAGAGCACAGGCTCTGAGATGTAACAGCAAGGAGAGTGTTACAACGCTTGAGTGGGAGAAAGAGTTAGGACTGAGCTGAGGTGCCTGGGACATAGTAAGTCATCAAGAAATGGAAGGCTTCGTGGGTTGGGATTGTGGTATAGCACTCGCCTAGCACGCACAAGGCCCTGGGTTTGATCCTCAGCACCACATAAAAATAAAATAAAAATATTGTGTCTAACTACAACTAAAAAATAAATATTAAAAAAAAAAAAAAAAGAGATGGAAGGCTTCCTGCCTAAGGAAGGGACCAAAGCTGGGCCTGAGCAGGTGCATTGCTCAGGCAGACAAGGGAAGAATGTGCGGTGTCACATTTAAGAATAAAATAGAGATAAAGTTGGTTAAGATGCTGGGAAGCAGTAAAAGCTGAAGATGTTGGAGGTTTGAATGCTCTCCTAACTGAGAAGATTATAATTATTTCATAGTAATTACTACTATCCTGAAAAACATTTCTTTAAAATAAGTTGCACAGAATGGGATTGCACTGTTACCTTGAAAATAATGTAGAATAACTTTTTCTTAAAAATCAGAGATTAAAGGATGACTACTTTCACATGCCAGTTAGCAAATTTGTCAACTGGAAGATCCAACTAATTATTAGAAGATAAAGTTTAAAAGACAATGTTTTTCAAATGAATCAATAAAAAGCCACAATTACCTATCTTTTTCACAACAGAAACCACAAATCCTATTAGGTCCACTTCAGAATAAGGTGGCTGGAAGTCTGGATCTAATAGTCTGTTGAAGTGAAGGGGCTCCCTTGGATGATAAACCTGGAGTAAGACTTCATCAGAAGCCTACAGAAAACAAATATTCAGTATATGGAGATTCTCCAAAGTAATATGCATTTATCAAAATTGAAAGATTAAAATGAAAATTTTTTACCGGTAGTTGTTGGTATCGAGTTTTTTTTGTTGCTGATAACTGTATGTGAGCTCTTTCAGATTTACTTTTAGATTTTGATGTTGCAAGATGATAGATTCTGTATCTCTTTCCCTCTGTTAACAGGGAATATAAGTCTGATGATGGACGCCAGATACTTAACATAGCTGTTTAGGGAAATATGAAGAAGACAAAAAGGGAAGAACTATTATTAAAATTCTTGTTTAAAAACAAATACAGACCAGGTGCAGTGGTGCACACCTGTCATCCCAGTGACTCAGGAGGCTGAGGTAGGAGGACTGCAAGGCACTAAGGACTTAGAGGGACCCCCGTCTCAAAATAAAACATTAAAAAAAGGGCTAGGGATGTGGCTTACTGATTAAGCAACCCTGGGTTCAATTCCAGGTACTGAAAAAAAGAAAAGAAAAAACAAATACAAATAACAATAAAGATTTAAGGATTGTATTAATTACTTTGTGAGTGCTGACAGCCCATTTTGCTTCCCTTACATTAACTTTATTCTTTATCTAGCATTTGTAATCATTTGTAAAAATGCCATTTTTTGACTTAACAAAACTGATATGAACCAAAAAAAATGCATACTAACCTGAATCTTTTTCTTTTTTCCTGTAGCTAACAATACGCAACTTCCATACAGCTGTAACATCCCTTGATAAACCTTGTTCTTCTTGTTCAGCAGATGCCATGGCCTTCCTGAATTCCAACTGTATCTGTGCTTGTTTCTTATCATTCAACATCTGTCTGTGATTATTCAAAGCTCTTAACTGCTCTTCACTGAAATAACCCTGTAACCATTTAAAATATTGAAATAAAAAAAGGCAAACAAAACATAATCCTACCTACTATAATCAGATTGCTTTAAATGGGAATAACATGCAACAGATTAGAGTTCACTTTAAGAATATGGCTTAATGCAGTGTTTATCACACAGTGTCTTCAGAGGCCTCAAACTGTTTACTAATCCTTGTGACAAATCTCCCTAGGGGTGGAGAAAATTCTCTAATTCTAAATGTATTCTAATCACACCCACCACTATCTGTGTCATAAATGGCTAATGTGATTTCTCACTATATTTGAGAAACAGATCTATGTGTTGTAAATGTACCAATTAATTTAATCCTCACAATAATCCTTCAATGTAGGTGCTATTATTGTTATTATGTTACAGTTGATGAAACTGAGGCACAGAAAGGAATAAATAAGTTGCACAGGCCACATGTTAAGAGGATGACTTAGGAATCTTTATTCATATCCCCTATAATTAAATTTCATCAGCTCTTTGGGATAGTAGATATAATCTGAAACAAATGTTTACTACAAGCACTTTTATCTATGCCTTGACACATTTTTTCCACTAATTTTGGCCAATTCCTGTCTGTTGCTCCTTGGAATTTTATCCAGTCTAAGAAAAACAAATGAATAAAAAAATAAAATGGGAAATGGAATCTAGATATGTTCCCTATGAAATTGCTACAGTCTTATACATCTTAAAGTCCTAATCAATTCTGGGAAGGGAAACTATAAAATCTATGTATTCCAAAAACGTCTTCTAAATACAAAGAGTCTAGTTTAAACATGAATTTAAAAAAAAATCCTACAATTTCAGAACATCTATGATATTCAACATTGCTACTGCAAACAAATTCTTTTAACAAGGCTATTTAGAAATTGATGGCTGTTTTCCCCTCTAAGAACTTTACAATGGCGATTTTTATCTAATTCAAATCTGATATAATTAGATACACTCAGAACTTTAGAGAGAACCTACTTTTATGCTTCCACTTGATAGAACATGAGAACAAGGCCCTCAGAGACAAATCACTTGTCTAGCTACAAGTGGCTGAACTTAGACATTCAGCTCTCATTCTGTCCCCTTTAGTTCCTCCTTATAATATCTGTTAATTCTATAAAAGGAAACTAGACTAATAAGTGTTTTGTTAAATTCTGGGGATGGAATTAAAACTATGTTCAGGATGACTCAAAGAACACCTAAACTTCAACAAATAAATCTTAAACATGGCAACTTGTAGCAAGTATCCCCTTGGACTTTAAAATGGGCTTCTCACAGAAGAGTCAAGTTGTAACATTTGAGACAGGAGAGAATTTTATTCAGAATAACACTGCTCATATTAGTGCCGGAATATTTATTTTGTAGTCCCACTATGTAATAAAGTTAAAAATAAATTTACCTCATTTATTAAGTCATAAAATAAAATTAATCAATAAACAACAAAAAAACAATTAATCAGTAAACAATTTCCCTAAATACTGCCCCTCTTCTCTACTTAGCAAAGTAATCCTAGAATCAGCATGAATTATTTTAGACATCTAGGGTGTCTAATTTAGGAGGTTGCTTATTTTAATATGTGAAATGGGTGTTCAAATAATAGTAACTAATAGCATGTGAATACTAACTATAAAGTGTGTGGAACTTTTAGATAAATCATTTGATCCTAAAATTATGTATCTTATGACCATTTTATAGCTATTTTATTCCCAATTTTCTTAGCTAATAAATGGTAAAGCTGTGATTCTAAAACCTATGCTGTTTTTAACACACTTTAATGCTTCTGGAAGTCTCCTGTCCCAGTATCCTTAAGGTAGAAATTGATGAACAATTGTAAGTAGGCTCTGAGAAACCAAAAACTTGGAAACAAAGACGCCGCACTGAAGATTTTTTAATATTAAAATAAACAAGTTTGGGGGCTGGGGTTGTGTCTCAGTGGTAGAATGCTCGCCTAGAATGTTTGAGGAGGCCCTGGGTTCAATCCTCAGCACCACATAAAAATTAATAAATAAAATAAAGGTATTGTGGGGTTGAGGTTGTGGCTCAGAAATAGAGTGCTCGCCTAGTGTGCATGAGGCACTGGGTTTGATCCTCAGCATAAAAATAAATAAAGATATTGTATTCACCTATAAATAAAAAAGTTAAATAAATAAATAAAGGTATTGTATCCAATTACAACTAAAATAAAATAAACAAGTTTTGCTATATTTTAAACCATGTTTAATTAACACATGAAACACATGAACTTGGGGCTGGGGTTGTAGCTCAGTGGTGGAGCACTTACCTAGCATGAGTGAGGCATGGGTTCGATCCTCAGCACCACATAAAATAAGTAAATAAAATAAAGGTATTTGCATTGTTAGTGGGACTGTAAATTGGTGCAGCCAATATGGAAAGCAATATGGAGATTCCTTGGAAAACTCAGAATGGAACCACTTTTTGACCCAGCTACCCCACTCCTCAGTCTAAACCTAAAGGACTTAAAAACAGCTACTACAGGGACATAGCCACATCAATGTTTAGTGCAGCACAATTTACAATAGCTAAACTATGGAAACAACCTAGATGCCCTTCAGTAGATGAATGGATAAAGAAAACGTGGTATATACACCCAATGGAATATAACTCAGCAATAAAAAGGAATAAAACCATGGCATTTGCAGGTAAACGGATGGAGTTGGAGAATATAATGCTAAGCGAAGTAAGCCAATTCCAAAAACCAAATGCCTAATGTTTTCTGATATGAGGCGGCTGATTCATAGTGGGGTTGAGAGGGAAGCATGGGAGGAATAGACGAATTCTAGATAGGAAGGGGAGGAGGGGAAGGCAGGGGGAGGGGTATAAAAAGGATGGTGGAAAGAGATGGACATCATTACCCTAAGTACATGGATGAAGACATGAATGGTGAGAGTATATAACCAGAGATATGAAAAAATATGCTCTATACATGTAATATGAATTGTAATACATTCTGTTGTCATATATAACAAATTGGAATAAAAATTTAAAAAAATAAAGGTATTTGTCCATCTACAACTAAAAATAGTAAAAAAAAAAAAAAAAGAAAAGAAAGAAAGGAAGAAAAAGAAATACATGTACTTCCCCAATCTCCATCTGATACACAGAATCAAAAAACCCATCACACTGGCTTGGTGCATCACTCAAGATGCCAGAAGTGTTCTCATTCCCTTTGAAAGATGCAGCATTTTGATGTTTTGCTTCCCATAAAAGCCAGAAAGTCAACGTAGCTTCCCACATTCCAGGGTGGGGATCAAGGCTCATCATCTGTCTCTTACTGGCTCACCTCAAGGTAGTCTGGGTCTGGTGCATTCTTTACTGCTTCATAAAGCTCTGCCCCATCCTGCAGAGCATGGACTTGCTGTCTTGTTAGTGCACGTGATGGTACACACTGTTTTGTTGTGTGTTCTAAGGAAAAAAAAGCATTACTAATGAGTTAAACCAAAAATTTAAGAACAGTGCAAAGTAGAGAACCAGGGGAAAAAAACAAAAAACAAAAAACACCCAAAGCAGGGAGATTAAAAAAGAATTAAAAAATACTAATCTGCTAAAAGTTTTCTTGGAAAATTTAAAACTGGTATACTCATGGTTAAAATAAATAGTCACACATAAGAGTTTACTTAATTTATAAATTAAGAAAATGAGGGGCAGAGATTGTGGCTCAGCGGTAGAGTGCTAGCCTAGCACGCGCGGGGTCCCTGGGTTCGATCCTCAGCACCACATAAAAATAAATAAATGAAATAAAGGTATTGTGTCCAACTACAGCTAAAAAATAAATCTTAAAAAAAAAGGTTTGTTATTGATTCTCTATTCATGAAAATAGTATGAGCTGTTACAATTTTAAGCAAATAAAATATTGAGAGTCCAATTTTTCTGTAGACATATATAATATGAAGTTAAATAAAATATAAAATCATAAGGAACTTATAAAACTGTTAGCAACAAAAAGGTACATTAGAAAAAGTAAATTAATGTGGTTCAAACATTAAAAACATAATTTTTCTTATTAAAATGGATGCCACAAGGATAACAAGTCCTTGTTCCAGGAATACATGAAAACTGACCACTCCAAAGACAAAAATATAAAGTCATATAAGGTAGATAAAGACACTAAGCAAAAAGAGTAACAGCTTAGGGGAAAAAATGATCTCCTGGTTTTCTCCTTTTGCTTTTTTTTCTCTAATACCACAAAAGAATACTCTAGATATCTTCACCCTGAATCTTTAAAAAAAAAAAAAATTATATATATATATTTATTTATTTATATTTAGCTATAGATGGACACAAAATACCTTTACTTTTATTTCTTTTTTATGTGGTGCTGAGGATCAAACCCAGTGCCTCACATGTGCTAGGCAAGCGCTCTACCATTCAGCCCCAGCTCCAGCCCTCACCCTGAACCTTACTAGGAATTTTATTTAAGGGCCCTGAAAAAAGGCTGAGAACATCATCTTTTACTGCTTGAGATAATTACGAGCATCTAAAAGGTCAGTGTTTTGGAAATAAATAATGATAATTTGAGAAAAGTTCAATGTTTATCTGTGCATCTGTATAATATTAAAAAAAAATTCAGACTCAGAATTAAAAAGACAATTCATTTAATTACAAATATTAAATTAAAAGCCCTTAAATTTTTCATATGAAAAATAATAATTTGGATTATATAACACACTTTACCTTCATGTTCTTCAAATTCTGCTTGCACTTTGGCAAACAAGGTTTCTAGTTTCTTTTGGTGAGCATCTGCATGTCTTGCTGCTTCCTTTTCTTCTTCTCTTTCACTGCGAAATATGTACAATCCAGAAGATGTCTTCTCCATCCACTGCATAATGTATTATATTAAAACAACAACATCAAAAACAGCTGGTAGGGAGCATTCAAATTAATTGTCTCAAACGAAAGAAAACACACTGTAAGCTTCAAGAACGTATCATACCTGCATAGGGTATACTCTTTGAACAACAACATCAACACAACCCACATTTCCTCCGTCACTGAACAATGATGACAAGGGCAGAGGGAAAGGTCTAGGATCAGGAAAGAACCCGAGTTTGGTGTACCAGCAAGCAGGCCGAGTACTATTAGCTGAAATCTGGACAAATTAACAAACAAACTGATTTAGAAGTTAAATACATACTCAATTCCATTCCAAACTTTCTAAGAGTTTTCATTCTATTAGGGCTGCTTTTAAAATATTCACTTTGAAATGTCTTAAGAAGATTAGTAAAGAAGTAAGTAGAAAAATGAAAAGTGTACAGCTGGGCCTGGTGGCACATGCCTGTAATCCCAGTAACTCTGGAGACTGAGGCAGGAGGACTATGGATTCAAAGCCATCTTCAGCAACAGCGAGGTGCTAAGCAACTCAGTGAGACCCTGTCTCTAAATAAAATACAAAATAGGACTGGGGATGTAGCTCAGTGGTCAAGTGTCCCTGAGTTCAATCTCTGGTATTCCCCAGCCCCCCAAAAAGGAAAACTGAAAAGCGACAAGTGAAAATATTCTCAAAATATAGCACTTCTTATACTATATCAAACATTGGTGTTAAATGTTTGTATTAGATAGTAGATCAAAGGATCTTCAATTTAAATATTGTTATGGCTTGAATCTGGAATGTTTCCTGAAAAGTTCATGTTTTGAAAGTAAAGTTCCCAATGTGGCAAGGTTGGGCTTTTAGGCATGATTAACACTCTGACCTCATCAGTGGCTTAATCCACTGATAACTGAATAGACTGGTGGATGGTAACTGTAGGGAGGTGGGGCATGGCTAAAGGAAGTAGGTCACTGGAGTATGGTCTTGGACTATATCTGTCCTTGGCCCCTTGCTCAGTTCTCTCTCTCTTTGCTTCCCAGTTGTCATGAGCTGAGCAGCCTTCCTCTGCCATACCCTTCCACCACGTTATTCTGCCTTACCTTAGGCCCAGAGCAATGAGGTTGGCTAACCATGTCCTGAACCTCTGAAACCGTGAGAATAAACTTTTCCTCCTCTAACCTGTTTTTGTCAGGTATTTTGGTCAAAATGACAAAAACTAACACAAACATGGGTGGAAAACTAATTAGGACAAATAGAATGAGCGAGAACAACAGATGTAACATCATCAAAATTTTGGAAGCTAAAAATTTGTTGGATGAGTAAATGACAAAACAGCCCGAGAATGATCATGGATAATAACAACTGCAAATATTCAGAGAGCATTTACTATGGTGGCTAGCATGATGTTAACTACTTTACAACTATTAACATTTAATGTCTATAATAGTCCTTAGATTTATTCCCATTTTACAGTTGATAACTTGACCAAGATTACTCAGCCATCAAATTTGTCATAAGAAGCCAATAAGACACAAATAATTGAAGAAAACACTAAAAAATTGGAGCTAACAGGTACCCTGAAGGCAGGTACATAAGATAGGTCAGAAAATAGGAAGAGTGGTTGAAATTTTGTACAAAGACCGTTAAGACCCCAGATTTCCTCTCCTATTCCAAGCAGCCAGGTGGCTGTCTCTTATCCCATTAAAATAGAACCCAGGGGACTCCACTTCTGGGGAGGCTAAACCACATGTATCCCATACTCTGAACACTGGGTAGATGCAATGAGGGTAGGGGAGAGATGTTATCATAGTAAAAACAGAACTGAAGTGAAAATCCTCATGGTGACAATGAGTCTCCTATTGTTTCTTTACTCTGCTCACCTCTTGGTATAGTCACTGATATTTGAGGATCTTCTAACTAAAAACCCAAATCCCCACCTCTTTGCCCTGTAAGCTGACAAGTCCTTCCCTGGAAGTGATTGCCAGTCAAGGAAGTCTACAATCTGAAAGACTCAAACCAAAAGAAAAAGAGGTTCTCACAAAAAAATGCAGGAAGCAAGAAAGACAAAATGAAAATAAAACATTATGTAATTGCTTCAGAAAGATAAGATATTGTGTCTATAGAACAACAGCCAAATGTAGCAAGAACAAAAAACATTTAGGGAATGATAAAGTCTCCTGAAATAAAAAATTATGCTGGTAGAAACAAATTCACTTTAGTGATTAGAAGAAAGAATTAAGAACTATTTTAGAAAAGTGGGAAAGAGACAACAACAACAAAATAGTGAGAAAAGACTGGAAAATTATAGGACTAATCTAAGCAGTCTAGTGCCCGAATATTAGGAAACAGAAAAAAAAAATAAGAAAATTATAAAAGAATCACTTTAAGAAAATTTCCCACAACTTAGTAAAATACATTGTTCCTAGATTGGATACACAATACCCACAATTAAAAAAAAAAGAAAAGAACATTGAAGTAGCATACTGTGAAATTTTAGAATAGTGGAGGAAAAAAAAAATCAGACCACATAATGAAGGATTAAGAATAAAAATAGCAATAAGCTTAGTAATAAGCTATACTAGTGGTAAAAGCTATATTAGAAGAAGTTAATAAAGAAATATCCTCCAAAATTTTGAAGGAATAATTTACTTATTTATTTTTGTTCTGAGGATTGAACCCAGGGATGGCTATATCCTCAGAGCTTTTTATTTTGTATTTTGAGACAGGGTTTCACTAAGGGCCTTGCTAATTTGCTGAGGCAGGTGGTAGGGATTACATGTACATACCATCAAGCCCGGCTTAAAGGAATAATTTCAACCTAGATTTTTATACTCAGTTGACCTTACAATAAGATTTCAAAAAACTTCAAGTTCACTTTCTCTATAAGATTAGAAGTTGTGAACCCTCAGAACCAGAAAATAAGTCTAGAAAGATGACACAGAATCCAGGAAATAGGGTTTCTAGCATGCACACATAAAGAGTAAGACATCAGTGGTAAGGATGTAGAAAAGTAAAAAACAAAGAAGACATGTAATAACTCCAGGGAAAGCAGTAAATGATAAAGAAAGGATATAGTATGTATGTACTATGTTGCAAAAAATATTTTCATAGTTATTATAACGTTATAATAACTTATTTTTAAACGTATATTTAACTTATATTAAACGTATACTTAAAAGTAAGTATAAACTTCGCTAAAAATTATGCTGCACTGGTATGGAGAAATGGGGGAAGAGAAATATATGGTGGTGTGGTATAAGAGACCTAAATCTTCATCTTCTACAGCAGGAAGTTAATAGTTAATGTCTTAACTGAAGGGGAAAAGACATGGTAGTATAAACAAAAGAAATAGCCACATGGTTGTTAATGGTCACTTCTGAAGCACAAAGAGGGGATGTGCTAGGGATAGCTTTTGTTTTGGTCATAAGCCTTATATACTTTGACTTTCGGAACTATGCACACACACAGATTTGATAATAACAAATAACAAACAAGAAGATGAAAACCCTCACAACTTTGATATTCTAAGCAACAAAAACCAGAAGCCTGTTTTCGCTTGATGAAAGGCCAAATAAAATCTCTTTACCTTAAAAATGTTTAATTTATGAAATTCTCCCCTGAATTAGAGATGCAGCATACAACTGAAGTAAATTTTCTACAAGGTTACCATGTCAGTGAATCTGTATGTGCAACATCATCAGTAACTTCTAATGGCAATATTGCTACTATTCAACATGACAATGTCCGGTTGTATGGTTTCAAATACACACAGAGACGAAAGGTATTTTATTATTACACATTTGAGAAGCACTAAAACCTAATTCTCTAATCACACTGGAAAGGGGATCTGATCAAGTAATCAAGCAGAAACAAAGCTACAAGAAGATGGCAGTAAAGGATATAGGTATTGAAACCAAATTCTAGTACAAATTGACTTTCTCTTTAATTGGAACAATATTTAGCTCAAGAAATATCTCAGGCTCTTCCCAAAATGACACAAATTGTCTAAATAATCTGCCCCTCACATTGTCAGAACGTTTTCAAGAAATACAGCAATTTTACTAACATAAGTAAATTTAAAAATTTAAGTATAAGACCTCTCTTGAATTTAAATGAGTCAGCGGCATTAATTTAATTTACCTTTAACATAAGAGATTCTGGGGCTTCAAGAGGTGTACAGGCATCAGGAGAGCCCACCAATTCTGCTCCATGAATAACGATCTTCTGACCTACAGCCAGTCTCCCATTCTTTAAGAGGGCTAAGAGAGGAGGGTCCAACAGGGCCTTGACAGCATACCATCCATCTGTAAGTTCAATAATTGCCACTTTCTTGGCATCTACACCACTAGTTTTACTGCTAGAAGTTTCAGATATGTCAGTGATGGATGAAATGATGTCAGAAACACAGAGGACAAGTGTTTTTGCAGCTGTATCATCCCTTTCCAGGATCTTTTTTATAGCAGATCTTCTGCTTCTATCAATTTCCACATCATATCTAAAAATGAAAAGAAAATGCCTGTTTTAGGAATTGTACCATAAACAAAGTCACTGAGTAATTGAGAATAAAATTAATTTAGCAGCTGGGTGCACTGGCAAACACCTGTAATCCCAGGGCTTGGGAGGCTGCGGCAGGAGTATTTAGAATGCAAAGTCAGCTTAGCAACAGTGAGGCACTAAGCAACTCAATGAGAACCTGTCTCTAAATAAAATACAAAAAAGGGCTGGGGATGTGGCTCAGTGGTCAAGTGCCCCTGAGTACAGTCCCTGGTACCCTACACCCCACCCCCTGTCCCAATTAATTTGGCAAAAAAATACTGAGAAATACTTGAAAAACTTTTAGGTAGAAAATACATTTTCATATTGTTAAAGTATGAAAACTAAAATTTAAAAATACAAAAATGCTTTATTATTAATACCTGTATAATTGATCAGATTATAAGTCATATTCTTCTCATATGCCAAGAGGTTGAAGAGAAAGTTGGGGGAAGAGAAAAACAAGAGGTAATATATGAATGTGTGACCTCTCTAAGTGGTCTGGGCAATGACTAGAGAACAACTCTATACAACATGAAGCAGGGTCGGATGGGAACTGGCTCATGTACCATCTTTGACACAGAAGTCACAGACTGAGCAAATACCTGAATTATACCACAGTGTAAGATTACTTAATATAATACTTTAAACTTGCCTGTATTTTAGTTGAAGAAGAACCCTTTCTGGATTTAGGCATCTATTAGCAAATTCCTTAGGAAAAGCAAATTCCATAGCTGCCAGTTTCCATATAATCCATCTGTAGTGATTATAGACCCAAACTCTAGAAATAAGTTTTGGGTCAACACCTGGGGTGTCACACAAAGCCCTGAACAAATAAATGTACAATAATATAATAACAAACATATAGGTTGATGATATTATGTTCAACAATTATAATTATTCTTTATACATAAAACTATATTGTACATGATTCAAAAGGTTTTACAAGTGACCATATGATCTATAAGTAATAAAATTTTAGAAAATCGTTTAGCACTTATCAAAATAGCATATTAATAAAAACTCCACTTAACAGAACAGTCAATATAATGCTTTCAACTCATGTAGAGTTGTTGCTGGAAAATTAAGTTGCTAATTTAAAATAATTATATTTTAGACTACTTTTCTATTAAAGAGAATGTTTTTAAGCCAGGAATGGTGGAGTATGCCTGTACTCCCAGCAACCTGGGAGGCTGAGGCAGGAGGATCATAGGTTCAAAGTTAGACTTAGCAACTTAGTGAGGCCGTGAGCAACTTAGCGAGATCCTGACTCAAAAAATGAAAAAGAGCAGAGATGTGGCTCAGTGGTAAAGTGTTCCTGGGTTCAATCCCCAGGACCACAAAAAGGGAATGCTTTTAAAATCACACCCAGGAAAACTCTTCCCTAGTCCTGGTGCTTCCTTGGCAGCATTCCCTCTCTTCTCAAATCTCTAACTGCTTCTACTGTCTCGTACTCTCTCTGAGCCCTAAGACAACAGAAGTACTCAAAAGAGGACTTCCACAGCCTCCCTCTTCACACCTACTCACCACAGCCCCTGTTTCCTTATCCGCTACCTTCTGCCATTGGTGCACCAGCTCCCACCCTCTGTTGCTCTATCCTTCACCTAAGAAATGACTCCTCCTGCACCATCAATTTCTTCCCTCTCTGCTGAATGACATTCATCAGCATAAAACAGTTTTATCCCCTAACACCTATCCAGCTTTATCCATTTTCAGAGTATTCATCACCTCCCAACATAGAAATTACTGGCTATTTTTAAAACATTCTGTTCTTTCCACCCCCAGTAGGATGCATGACTCATTAAAGCAACTACCTTTTTTGTTTGTTTTTCTTTGTGATGCCTAGTGTCCAGAATAGTACCTGGCACATAGTGGATGCACAATAAATATTCACTGAATGATCCACAGACAACCCATAATTGCCTCAACTCTATGAACCCTGACCACTTGACTACAGAATAATCAAGCTTCATACTATGCATTCTCTTTAGTACAAGAAAATAATACAATGATCTTACTATATTTTTCCTACTAGAATCTACAGCAGATGTTAGTTATCTAAGATGCATGCATGATGTAAATAGGGCTCCTATTTTAAAGTACTCCAAAAAAGTAAAAAATATCTTCAGGAAAAAATATTTAAGCTTGTTCAAGATAATTAATTTTGGAAGGATGCAGAGTTTTTAAAAATAAGGGTTCTAGAGAAAGAATTCCCATCTCTTGTGCTTGGTGATACATCTTAATGGCAAAATATTTTTAATTATGTTTGTGTAAACATTAGACTCAAAAGTGGTTATATAGTTCCTAAATTATTGATGTTTTAGAGCACTGAGATTTTCTTGTTATTTGGTATTACTGATATTTAAATATTTCTGTTTAACTTCTAGTTTTTATATTTTGTACTTATTAAAATATACAATAAAAAAGAATATGACATAAATGTGTATGTGTATGGGTCCCTCATAAGTCTAATTCAAATTTAACTTATCCACTTTTATTTTGTAAATGCACAAGAAAAAGTCAATTTAAGAAATCCAATTCATTAAATCCCAGGACAAACCATGTTCACTTTTCATAAGATTTTAACAGAATGCCTACTGAATCACAATACACTAAAAATGATTCAATGTATAAAATATTTATTTCTAGTGAACTTTATAGGAATTATAGTATATATTAAAGCTAACAAAATCTTTTTGCATACAGTACCTATAAAATTCTTCTTTTCCAGTCTTTCCATCATTAGAGGGTATGAGCCATCCACCATCAGCCAACTGGACTCCCTTTCCAGACCATAAATCTTCCTTACTAAAATAATCCTGAGTGTGAAACTGAAAAGACCCTGCATTTTTGCTGTTAATCTTTATGCAATGTTTAGAAACACCATACATATAGAGCTGCACAAAATAAACAGAAAAATTTGATGACAAATAAAAGAAAATAAACATTTCATAGTATAAAACTGAATTTGCCAAGAATTTTTCATTTAAATATTAAACTATTCAGTATAAAAATATTTAACTGTACTGGGGGTACAGCACAGTGGTAGACTACGTGCTTATTAGCATGCACAAGGCCCTGGGTTTGATCCTCACCACCACTTACACACATACATCGAGGCAAAAACAAAAAGACAACAACAACAAAAATAAATAAACAAACTTCTTAGCTAGAAGCTAATTTTAATGTATTATAAACAACCTAAACATTCAAGTGTATAAGCTTCATGCTAAATATGCCACAGGAAGGCACTGTGGGGATAAAGAAATAATTTATGAAATCTCTTGAATTCAAAAGTATAGAAGAAGGAGAACAGGGAAGAGTATTACTGAAGCCTGGCCCAGTTTCAGGAAGATTCACACCAGCATGCTTAACCCAACATGTCTGTGTTCAGCACTTCACTCAGTAGTCAGACCCTTGATTTAGAATTCTAGCTCTTCAACTTCCTGATTACATAACTCTGGGAAGTTACTTAACTCTATGCTTCAGTCCTCTCATTTACAAAGTGATGGGCAAAATGATATTTTTCATACAGGGTGACTGTAAAGATTAAGCAAAATAGAATCAATGCATGTAAAATGCTAAGTGCTCAGTACTTGGAAACGGCTCAATAAATGTGAGCTATTAATATTATTTCCATTTTTTCATTGTGAAAAATTCTACCTAGACAGTAGTAGGTTAACCAGAAATCTCTTTTAAATATGTAAATAGTCTTTAGGGCTATGAGTTATTCACACTTCAAATTTAAGGTGACTACTTATCCCCTAATGCCTAGCTGACAGCACTTATAGTAATGAAATAAATAAGAAAGATATTTTTAGGGGAAAAAGAAAAAGAAATTTTGAAGCACAGATCACTTTGGTAAGGAAAGGCCAAGAGGGAGGCTGCCAGGTAGGTAGGTAGATTAGGAAGCACAGTGATCTCTTTCATCCACTCTTTCACTAATTTTTTCATTCTTAAACAATTTGCCCGTACTTAAACTATTAATGGAAGAGTGCCACAGAAGACATTAGTACAACAGAGAAAAGTGTACCTGTTTATGAGAACATGCAGAGGGAGCTTGGCCTCCTACTGCTGCTTTCATAGAGATTCGAGGAAGAGTGGAGGTTTTTGCAAGATATAGACTGCCTGGCTGTGGAAAGATATGTTGTCCTTGTTTCTTTTTAATTCGCATATCCTGTTTATCTCTGGCATTCTGAAGGCTTATAATTAAATCTGTTAAAGACCAAATAATTAGTAAAAAAATAAATCTAAATGTAAATTTAGAAAGTGCATCCCCAGCTTTATAAAACTATATGTATCAATTTACTCTAATTTTACATGCATTGAAAAAAGGAGCCCCTATCATTTTTAAATTTTCAGAGATAATAAAATTTCAACTTGTTAAGTTGTACATAAAGATTAGACATACATCTATTACTTTTATCTCAATTTTAGAAGACAATTAGTAGCATGATAAAATATACTCCATAAATAACAGTCCTGGATTGTGTGTCTAGTAGTCTTTTAAAAAATTTTTTTAAACAAGAAAGACCACAAGTTCTTTGGGGAAACCAAAACAAATCATTGGAATAATTTAAACCTAATCTTTGGATTTAGAAAATCTAAAACATTAAAAAAGGTTCTGAAATTATTAATCACCACAAAATAGGGAAACCCTTAAGAATATAACTTACTACAAGATTTTAACGAGAAATATCTAACCAAAAGGCAAAAATGGGTCACACAAATTATCTCACAAACCTAAAGATTCTTCTTCACAATTTGGGACAATTGTAGTTGTTACTTGACTGGTGCTGTTTTTGTCAAACTGATGAATATCACTATCGTTAATATTGTTTTCCTTATTACAAGAGCCACATTCATTTATGTTTCTTTGTTTTTGTTTGTTTTCACACAAATTAATATTCTTGGAAACACAATGTTCATCTCTGTAAAGATGTGATTTAGTTTTGAAAGGTGGGACAAAGACTTTGTTTGATTTTCCTGTAGTAATTGAGTATCTCATTTTTTCCTTTCTTGTAGCGGGATCTTTATAAAGTGGCTGCTCTGAAACTGGCAAATTGCTTGAAGATTTTTCTGAAGTCAGGTGTTCATAAAGATGAGATTTAGATAGAAATTTCTGACCAGGTACAGTAAAATTTGGTTTCTGGGTTTCTTGCTGTTTCTTAATTGTGCTACATTGGGGAGAGAAAATATTTAAGTCTGATTATTAAGCAATAAATGTGCACATACACATGTTTATGTATATGCTATTTTTGTAGACCTTCAAATGCTACATGGCAATTCTGTTCAGATAATTGTTTTGCATTTATCACGGTTACCATTCCAAAACAATACCATACTTTTTCTAGGCTATAACTGACTCTTATGCATTTATTCCTAGCCTTTGATTTTACAATCTATGTAACACAATAGAGTATGTCAAAAGTGGGTCTTCTCAGTGTGTGTCCCATTCAATTTTACCTCCTTCCTTACCTTCTTATTATCGAAATATCTGCCCATCCTCTCTGGCTTCTGCTTTTACCAGAACTCTTGAGCTCATTTAATAACTCATTCTATTCAGAAGTCTTACTCTTTCAAATAGTATTTTTCCCATCTCCTCCACCTGTATATACATTTCTTTTTTAAAAAAATATTTATTTTTTAGTTGTAGTTGGGCACAATACGTTTATTTTATTAATTTATTATTCTGTGGTGCTGAGGATCGAACCCAGGGTCTCGCACGTGGGAGGCGAGCACACTACCACTGAGCCACAACCCCAGCCCCAAATATGGTTTTCAATTGTAGAGGACACAGTATCTTTATTTATTGTTTTTATGTGGTGCTGAGGATAGAACCCAGTGCCTTACATGTTCAAGGCAAGTGCTCTGCCACTGAGCTACTGCCCCAGTCCGTTTATACATTTATTTTTTAAAATAATTTTTGTATGTTTTTTTTTAAATGAAACTTTATTTTTTATTTATTTTTATGTGTTGCTGAGGATCAAACCCAGGGCCTTGAATGTGTGGGGCAAGCGCTCTACCGTTGATCCATAACCCCAGCCCCTGTTTATACATTTTTTGAGTGCCTCTTTATGTAGGCACATTTTTCTCAGCCTTATTTCTACTTCAAGGTAATATTCATCGTTACCTACACTCTGTGGTCAACTTTCTTCAACAGGTAATTTTTCCACTTCCTCAATTTTCACTAAATGAGCTCTCCTTTCTCTCACTATTTTGAGAAATTGTTCTCAATGCAGTTGCTAATAACCTCCCACTATGGAAAACGAAGATTTATCTCTGTCAACACCACCTCCACTTTACAGTATATATAACTGTATTTGATTCTATCAATTTCCAACATTTGTATTATGACTAAGCACATTTTACAGATGAATGTATTATATTCTGAGACAAAATGATTTCTATCCAAAAATCCTATCACTGACTAAACATCAATTAAGAGGGTGGGTAGACAGGCTGTGGATGTAGCTCAGTGTCAGTGCACCTGCCTACCATGTATGAGGCTCTAGGTTCAATCCCCAGCACATCAAAAATTGAGTAGATATTTTTCAGATGCATAGTACCAAAAGATTTATCTCTCATGCATTTTTCTCAGAAAAGTAATCAAAACAAGTGCATAAATAAGGAGAAAAATGTGGAACTTTAGAAACATGAATTAAACATAGAAAAAAGTAGCTCTTGGAATGGAATTGAAGAGAAATTCCAGAATCATAAATGTGATGTTCAGTCTAGAGAAGCAGCAAGAGAACTTTGGAACAGAAAATAGAGCCTCAGAATAGTTTGCCTGCAAGGTAAAATTAAAGCATTACTTAAGTAATGTTTTGTTTTTGAGACGGGATCTCACCATATTACCCATGCTGGCCTTGAACTTGGGATCTTCCTCCCTCGGCCTCCCAAGTAGCTGGGATTAGTACGCACCAGGCTAAAAAAAAATGTTTGTTTTTTTCCTGTGTGGCACACTGGGGATCAAACTCAGGGCCTTACACATGCTAGCATGCACTTTACCATTGAGTTATACCTCCAGCCCCTGCTACTATCATTATCATTAATATTATTTTCCATTTCTATTTTTTTAAATATTGCAAAACATGTATTAGACAAAGTACTGGTGTCTAAAATACACAAATAACTCTTAAAATCTATAAGAAAAAAACAAACCCAATTTAACAATAGCTAGAAATCTTAACAGAAACCTTACCAAGTAAGACACAGATGGCCAATAAGCTATGAAAAGATGCTAATACAATAACATATATCATTAGAAATTGCAAAAATGATACATCACTATCTTTCTGTTAGAAAGGCAAAAATCCACATTACTGAGAAAACCCAATGCCAGTGAATATGTGGAGCAACAGGAACTCTCATTCATTACTGATGGGAGTTCCAAATGGCACATCCATTTTGGAAAGTAATTTGGCAATTTTTCACAAAACCAAATGTCCTCTTAACCATATGATCCAGCAATCATGATCATGTTATTTACCCAAATCATCTGAAAAGTGATGCTTACACAAAATTTGCACACTAATATTTATGGAAGCTTTATTCATAATTGCCTAAAATTGAAACAAATGAAGCTGTCCTTGTGTGAGGACAGAAACACAAGAAAGATGGCGTTCAATAGATTAACTGATCAATATCTACCCATATAATGGAATATTATTCAGGGCAAAAATGAAGAGTTATCAAGGTACAGTGGAACCTTTAATTCACATTGCTAAGTAAAAGTGTCATTATGAAAATACTATATACTATATAATTCCAATTATATGATATTCTGGGAAAGGCAAAACTATGGAGACAGTGGTTGCCAGGGATTTTAGAGAAGGGATTTTTAGCCCCTGCTTCTTCTAGAGAGTTAATTTACTTGTGTCATCATATTTTTAATTTCTAAGAGCTCTTTTTATAGTAATTTTTTCATATATTAAGATATATCTTATCTGAGAATATCTAAGTTTTTTCAAATTATTCTACTTGCATAATCTATTTCCTCTTTTTTTGCTTTCGTTTCTGTATTTTGGCTACCATCTTTCATAGTGGCTTCCTTCCAATGATCTTTGCTCATTTAAAGAGATGCACTAAAGAGCTGAATGGAAGTTTCCATATGTTTACAGAACCTGTCAATTATTGGATTAACTGTCTGATGACTGGCTATGCTGTTTCATTTGAATATTGGTAACAGTATTTTTAGGTCTTTTCTGTTGAGCTGATCATATTCCCTGCAGCCCCTCTACTCCCAAATCTTCCAGTCTTGTCAGCATTTGGGAACCAAAGGTGGGAAGGAGGCTAAGCGTCTCACTGCTTGATATACAGATTTTTACTTAATTCCTGTTTTCAGTATCCTTCCAACTGTGGCTTGTGTTCCCTTCTCTTATCCCACCTCCAAATCAGAACTCCAATTTAACTTCTCAATGGAATAACTAACCACCTGGTTTTCTGGGAAAGAGCAATAAATGTCTATTAGCAACAGAGGAGGGGAACCAGATGGTTCTTAAAGAGAATTTTATCTAATCTTACTACTTCTACTTTACCAAGAGAAATACATCGCGCTGCCAATTTGAGTCTTTCTCAGGTTGTTTGGGGTAAACTGGTAGCTTCTCTGCTTGCCCTAATGACAGGTTTTAGCTTTCTTAGGTTTACTAAGTCATTCACATTTTTGGCTTCCAAACTTTTGGTATTTGTTTCTTTTGATCAGAGTTCTTGGGAATTACATATTTTAAAAAATTCTCTTGGGCTGGAGCTGTGGCTCAGTGGTAGAGTGCTTGTCTTACATGTGTGAGGTACTGGGTTCAATCCTCAGCACAACATAAAAAAAGATATTGTGTCCGTCTACAACTAAAAATGTATTTTTAAAAATTCTCTTGGTAATTTTAGTAGGCTTTAGAGAAGGAGAGATAAAAGGATATCTTCAATATCTGCCATCTTATTGTGAATTATTTTGAATATTTCCTTAATTCTTTTCAACCTCTGTACATCATCCACAAAACTGGCAAGTAATCAGTTTGTGTACTTTACAAGGCTGCCATGAAACTAAAAAAATAACAGTATAAACAGCAATATAAAATACCAAAATATTGAATTATTTAATCCTTATACAGGCTTTCAAAAAGGGAAGTGTTAATTTCTTTACTGCATAGTAGTACCATTAGTTTTAGAAATAATTCCTAAAGCCACAATTTTTTCTAATTATATTAGTAAAATTGAAAAACAAGGTAAACATATCTCACCGAACGGGTCCACAGATAATTGGCTCTAAAGAAATGTGATGGGTAAATAATCTTCTATCATTTATTGTGCCTAGAGAGAAAATTATTTTACATTATCAATAAAAATATAATGGGAGATTTTATTTTCTATTTGCCTATTACATCTCTAATTATAAATATTTATACAAAATTCGAGACAATTATAAACTTTAAATTTTCAATAGATTCAGTAAGTAACTATCAAAAGAAATATTTATCAAAAGAAATATTTTGTAAAAACAGTATTTCTATCTATATCTATCTTTTTATCTATGTCTTTCTTTTTAAGTAAGAAAGACAGGGGAACACATACTTTTTCTTTTTTTTTAACAAGCAGAAATCATCAAAAGGTGAACAAGGGCTAAGGCACAGAGTCAGTGCATTCAAATTGATAATAGCTAAATACCAAATAACTCATAGTATAAACATAAAGAGAAGCAAAGCTTTAGATATTATTCATTCTCAGTATATTATTCATACCTATAAAACTTTTAATTAATTAAATCATTAATAGGGGATTGACTGAATAAAGTAGGATACACTGGTACAGCCATACAATCAAGTACCATGTAACCATAAGAATGAATGAGAAAGATCTCTATATATTCACTAAAGGGTAATCCCCAAATAAATTTTTAAGTAAAAGCAGTCTGTCTGTCTATCTATCTATATATCTTTTTGAGTAAGAAAGACAGTGAGAACACATAATTTTTTTTTTAACAAGAAATCATCAAAAAGGATAAAAAAAAAAAAAACAACTATTTCAAAAGTGAGCAAGGGCTAAGGCACAGTCAGTGGTATGAGCACTAACATGTACAAGGCCCTGGTTTCAATCCCAGCACCACCAAGATACCAAAAAAAAAAAAAAAAAAGTGAGCCAAGAGGAAGGGGAAGTGGTAAAGAACATGGAGTGATAAGGAAGAACTGACTTTTTCAAGTATATCTTTCTATAGTGTTTGCAAATGAACCATGTAAACACTGTATTTCATTGCATAATAGTCACAGAATTTATGCTATTTATTTATTTATTTTGCAAAAAAAAAAAAATGGGGTATGGGCTGGGATTGTGGCTCAGCAGTAGAGCGCTCGCCTAGCATGGGCGGGACCCGGGTTCGATTTTCAGCACCACATAAAAATAAAGGCATTGTGTTGTGTCCATCTACAAAAAACAAACAAACAAACAAACAAAAAAAGATTCTCTTTCTCTTTAAAAAAAAATGGAGTATGACAATCATGTGATTTTTTTTAAAAATTGTACTGGTATTACTTAAAAGTCATTTATTACTAAACTGGTGCAACATTAGGATGCATGGAATACTTGTGAATATATGTTAAAACTGAATAGTTTAAATCAATGCACATGACAGTTTAGCAAACAATTTTCTAGTCTGAAAAAAGTAAACAGATTACTGATTTGTGCATTACAACTGAAATATTATACTTGAGAAAATTTACTACAATATTATGAAGTATGAACTACAAAACTTAATCTTCTGGGTCCAAGATTCTGTGCTGCAATCAGTGGTTTAGTTACCTAACATGCTGTGCTCAGCATCACTAAGAAGTGTTTACCCATAGTACTGCAGTGCTCTAGACAAACCATGCAAGTTGACTTTTGTAAACATGCTGACAGTGCATGTGCCCTGAGAATTCAGACTCACGATGTGCAGTGTGCGAGAAGACAAATGTACATCCATATGCCAGTGTTGAATACATTGCTGCTGTTCACCTTTTAAATGGCGTGAAGAACAGAATTATGCCATGTGACAATTATTCGATGAAAGGTTATGAACCAAGTTTTGAACTAAAAAAACAGGATGTGACAAGTATAGGGTGGTAAGGATTATTTTGTGAAATACTGTATGTTATTTACTCAAATGTTGAATAAGAAGAAAGAAAATAAATGGATACAAATCTAACTTAATTATCTAAGCACATATAGAATTATTATGACTGACATTTGAACACAGTACTTTGATTATACATCCTTACCAATACATTAAAAATGTATTAAGGGGCTGGGGATATAGCTCATTTGGTAGTGCCTGCCTTGTATGCATAAGGCCCTGGTTCAATCCCAGTACCATAAAACAACAACAACAAAAAACAATGTATTAAGGATACATCTAAAGACAAAAACTCAAAAGAATCTTTTATGGATGGAGGAGGATCTCCTTTAGGAGGTCAAAGTTGTCAAAATGTCATAATAATAATCCTGAGATATTATTCATGTTTTCTCATGTATTCTGCAACATACTTTAATATCACCAGTCTCAAGAAAATGCACTGTCATGATTGAGCTGAGCTACACAATCATGATATTTCTTCAAAGAATTAAGCATTTTTACTTGCAAGAATAGTCAACAAACTGTAGTCATTCAGACTTGGGTGTTCAGCAACATTTTTTCAATATCCTCAAAGAAAATAAAATACTTGGGAATCAACCTAACAAAAGAGGTGAAAGATTTATACAATGAAAACTACAGAACCCTAAAGAGAGAGAGAGAAGATGATC